CTTCAGGTGTTTGTGGGCACCTGGGATGTGCATAATGTTCTGTTAGCATATGATGAGACAGCATGAACCAAGTTCTTGTATGACCTGGGTTCTTAAAAATGACCCAGTATCATAGCCAAGCAGTGAGTCTAGCCTGCTCTCCATAGAGTCTCTCTCTAGGTATACAGGTAGGAAATTAGGCTCCTTGAGAAATAGTATTGTATTGGGTTTAACTAAAGAAAGGGCAATAGGTCCTGTCTGGTTTGCTCAGTAGTTACATCAGCCTGCAGACTGAAGGGTCTTGGGTTTGATTTCCGGTCAAGGGCACACGCCTCGGTTGCAGGAGGTGCTTGTAGGAGGCAACCAATCAATGTGTCTTCTCTCATGTCGATGTTTCTCTTCCTCTCCCCCCCGCCCCCACTCCCCCTTTTCCTTCCCTCCATTCTCTCTAGAAATCAATGGAAAAATATCCTCAGTTGTGATTTAAAAAAGAAAGATAGGCCAATAAGAATTAGTGTCTGATGTGAAGTGGTTTTTAAAAATGCAGTTGAAATTCAGAATTCATTGATAAATATTTGTAAGCATATATCCCCAGCTTATATCCATTTATTTAGCAGTTATTTACATCTGCTACTATATTAGTAGTTATATATTACAAAACATTCACAAATGTAAATGAAAAAGGATATTAAACATATGAAGGGGTGTACTAATAACTTAGGTATCCCAGTGTATCATCTTGTGTACTCGGGGGCGTGGGTGCTCACTTTGGAGACCAACTGCTCAGAGGGTATTCTGTCCCCATTAGAGCACCCTCCCCACTGCCCAGTGGCTTATTCCAGAGGTAAAGAAGCCAAAAGCACCCTGAGGGTGGTGTTTGCCTTTGGTCCATTCTCTGCTGACCTTCATTGCTCTGATCAAACATGCACAGTTGTAATTTTCAAACATGTTTTCCTTTTAAGCCTAGCTTTCCCCATTGTGAAATTTTTTCATTTCTCATTTGGCCACTCAGAAATCCCCTTTTGTAGGAACTGATAGTCCACTCCTTTTGTAGGAACTGGTAGCTCACTTCTCTACCTGCCCGCCCCCCCTCCCAAGCGTAAATGCAAAGTGAAAACTATTGGTGTTTTGCATGTGGGCTTGGCCCCTAGGGGCTCTGTGTTAGGGAGGAACTTTCTCACTTTATTGCTTATTGCTTGTCCAGAATACTCTTCCTCAGGGTCCTCCTCTGCAGTTTAGATTATCTTTCTGGAGGAGGGCATGCGAACCGCGTGGGGGGAGATGAGGATGGGGTGCTAGATACTTCACCTGGAAAAATCCATGCAGTGGTGGGAAGGCCAGAAGGCCTGGGAAGTGCAGTAGGTCCAGACAGCCCAGAGGGATGATAGCAAGCAAAAGGATGACAAACTCAGGTGTAGTTCCTAGAATCCAGGAATTGGAAATTTGGCCCTCACCTCAAGAGGACACTTAGATCACCTTTTTGTCTGCCTCCTGTCCTCTGCTGACCATGGTGGTTAGTTCTAGGAAACCAAAGTCCCACCACTTCAGGAAACGAGGCCTATGGTCTTCCCTCACTGAACAGGCCTAAAATGACCTTGGAAGCTGAGTTAAACAGATGATTCCATGGCTAGGCGATAATGTGGACGTGTGGGAAGAATATAGGTTTGGTATTGGTCAGTAGTACTGATAACATGTTTATCAAGTGTTTATTGTGTCCCAAGCACTGTGTTAAATGCTTTACAAAGTTATCTGATTTGATTCTTAAAACAATCCTGTGAGGTAGGTAACTTAGTTTCATTTTACATGTGAAGAAACTAAATCTTACGTTAAAATAACTTGCTCACAGTCATAGCTGATAGGTGGTGAGCTGGCATCCTGACCCAGGTTCATGACCAGTTTGCCTCCTGAACCACTTGATCACCCAAGCGTGTTTCCTGATCTTGAAAACCAGGCTATTATTGTCTACCTCAGAAACTGGAGGATTTAAATAGGTTTGTAAAGGATCTGCCACACAGAATAAGTGATGTCTTTGTCATTTTCCCAGGAGCTCAGGTGTCCTTTTTATTTTATGGTACTTGAGTGAAATAATCTTGGGTAGTCATGTACAGCTGTCATGTGCTAGGAGCTGCAGAGAGGAGGAAGACAGTCCTGGAATCCCAGGAGCTTAGAGCCTTGGCAGGGGAGAGGGAGGAAGAGTGGAGCAGGAAGGGGGCCAGGGAGGTGGCAAACATAAAGGGCTCTCAGTTCAGTGTGATCAGGATTGAGTCCCCCTTTACCAAGAGGCAGAAGTCACTGTGCTGCCATCACCGAAGTTGGCAGTTTTGATTCCTTTCTTACTGACCAGTGGGACAGCTGGTGTAGGGGACGATGGAGTAGGAACGAGTTGGCTCTTCTGGACACCATCACTGAGTCAAGTGTAGGGTCTGGGCCCAAACAAGCCAGCCCTCAGGGGCAGAGACAGAACCGGAGGGAAGCTGGGCCTGTGTTCATCCCATTTCTGATCCGTCCCACAAAGCCATTCCCTGTCCGCAGTTCGGTTTCTGTGAGATTGTCCAAGGTCTTCTAACGGCGTGTAGCATTGGCTGGGATCCCGGATTCCCTGAGAAGCAGCAGTCAGGAAGCATGGTTCCTCCAGCATCTAGAGGGTTTTCCGAAAGTGCTCACATACCTCTTCGTAATCGTGTTCATCATCATCTGCAAAGGAGTCCAGGTCAGTGAGGATCTGTCCTTAAGCAGGTTCCTTCCCCCGCTTTACCACTTTAGGGCACACTTCCTCGCCCGGACAGGGAAGGGTTGGTCTGAGTGCTCTAAGGTTCTTGCTGCCTGGAAACTATAAATTCTGACTGAACACTGCAGACATTCCCCCTGTATGCCTTGGGGACGGAGGGGAGTGTGTTGAGAGAGGAACTCCTTTTCCTTGCCAGGGCTCTGTGCAGACAACAAGCAGGAACTGGACCCAAAGTCACTTCCATCGGGAGCAGGGCTGGGAGAGGGACAGTGGGGACGCTTCAGCCTAGGCCCCCCCTATAGAGGCTTGACCGTCCAGCTGGGACCACAGAAGGGTCTGCCTGTTGGCAGGGCCTTGCTGAATGTTCGGCCAGCAGCCTCAGAGGATCAGTGTAGAAAGGGTAGAAGAAAGGATAAGGGTGAATAGGGGCTGACGGGACTTACCTGGATCCAGAATGTTGGACTTCATGGGCTTCCGGCCCTTCCTACTGGCAGAGACCTTGCTGTAGGTATCTGTGACCGCTGGCAGGGTTTTCGTATTGTGTTTGGCCAACAGAGGGGGCGGCTGCTGTACTGGGGCTTTAGAAGACTAAGTGGGGAAAAATGCAGAAGTCAGCAGGGTCTCCAGAAATAGAGCAGCAGAATCCATGAAATGTAATTTCCTTCAAATGTCACTTCTGTTCCTTTCTCTACCTCCTTTTCAGGGTAGGGCTTCTCAGGACCCCAGGGATTTTTGCTATAAGCACATGGAATGTTCTTTGGCAGGGGAGAAAGGGGCCAGGGTGAGATGATATGATTAGAGGCTAGAGACAGTATCCACATAGGAGTTTGGTCAGCTGTTGCTGAGGGGGAAATGTCACAAAGCCTCAGCACAGAGTGCCAGGGCGAGAGGAGTCCCAGCAGGAAGAGGACTTTCACTGCACAACTACCTGGTGCCAGATACTACATGCGTCTCTGCTCCCTCGAGTGAGCCTGAGTAGCTGCTTCAGTCCCCAATTGACACATGAGGAAATGGGGTCAGGGAGAGGATGCCATGTCAGACCTCACACGGGGACTGAGCTGGACCTACACTCGGTCCCAGACTGTGGGGAGCAGCTATACGGTTAAGCTTCGGACTGACCTGTTGCCAAAGTCACAAACAAGTCCCAGCTTAGAGGCCACAGTCCTCTTAGCATAATTAGGCTTGACCTTATAATGCTCCCTAGATCTTATCTGGGAAGCTAATGGGCTGAGGGAAGTGCAGCAAGAACAAAAACAAGTGAAACTCACACGGTGTAACTGTGGTGACCACTACCTTGTTTACCTCTGACTATAAAATGAAGGCTCAGTTTGCCTCCGGATCTTTCTCTGTGGCCTCAGCCAGGCACAGGAAGATCCACGGAGACTAAAGAGAGCTAGAGAGCTATGAACGCTGTCTGCTGTCTCCGTGTAAAACATTCTTCGCCGACTCTGTCCACACCTTGGGAACCCCTGGGCCCTCGGGCCTGGACCCCAGCACCAGACCATGTCTGCCACCTAAAGCTGGTGCTCTTTCCACCACACCGTGCTTTGGAGAACAAACACGTATAGCTCCCTGACCAGCAACGAAGAATACTAAGACCCAGAGAGGAAAAGCTGCTGGATCAAGGACGACAAGCAGGAGCTGGGCCCAAAGTCACGTCCACCGGGAACCAAGGCTGGGACAGGGCCACAGTGGCCCCTCTTGAGATAGGACCTCTTTCTGGACTGAGACCCAGCGTCCATGTTTTGAACTTTCTATCCACAGTGCAAACTACGAGTGGAGCATGGTGGTTAGCTGTTCAAGCCCAGTGGTCAGACCCCATTTTAACCCCCCTCACCACTTGCTAGCCAGGTGATTTCAGGTAAATGACCTGCCAGCACTTATTTTCTCCTCGGTGCAGAGGATATCAGTGGCCGCCTCAGAGGTACAACGTGAGAGCCGGGTGGAGCAATGCCTAGGAGCCTGCCACCGAGTAAACACCCTGCAGGAAGCAGCTAATGGAACAGCGGTGAGCGATGTCACCTCAGCCTCACTGACAAGGAAACGATGCTGAGTCCAGGCCACAAGCTGAATAAACTGGGACTACAGCCGTCTTTCTGTCTCTGTGACTGGTTCTCTCCTTTTACTGTGATTCTGTTTCATTCAGTTCAGCACTCCCTGGCATTTCTCTGTCCACTTTGGAGTGGGTGAGGTCCCTGTACCCACAGAACTCTCATTCTAGCCAGACAGACTCGGGTATATCTAATTGAAAACTGCGTGCCCCCACCCCACCCCCAAGCTACTTCCAACATGCAGTGTGAATACACAAGAGGGAGGACTCAGTGCCTAGGAGGGAATCTGAGCTGAGCCTTGCCCGTGAGCCAGAAAGAAAGAAGATAAAGGGTTGGTGTGTGTCAAGTGCTGAGGCGGGGTCCTGGCATAGTGAGGGAGCGACAGGAGCTTCTCTGTGGCTGGAGTATGGACTTCAGAGTGGGTGGGGGGAAGGGGGGCCTGGGAAAGTGAGACAGGTCAGCTTAGAAGGGACGCTGATTCTGTTACAGGGCCTGCATTACCCCCTGGCAGTGGGGAGCCACTGGAGGTTTCAGAAAATAGGGCCAAAACCCATTGGTGACCAGGGAAGGCTTTAGAAGGCAATTCTGACAGCAGTGGAAAGGGTTGAAGAGGCTGCCGAAACAGCTGACGTGAATGACGATGAAGCCTGAACTAGAGTGACATCAGGGTAGCAAAGAGGCAGAGCACAGTGACGTCAGAGTCAGTCTGCTTATGCTCCAGTTCAGGCCTCCTGTTTACTGGCTGTGACTTCAGGTGAGTCTCAGGGTCTGTGAGTCACTTAACCGTAAAACATGGTAACCACACCGTCAGGACTGTGAGGATGGAATAAGAATAACAGGTGCAAAGTGTGCACGTTTATGACTGCAAGCTCTATGCGATTGTAAGAGAAATGTGATGCTAGACAAAGGAGAACGGCTGGACTGGCAGTGACCCTAACCGGTGAACCCACCCCCGCCAACTTTGGTTGTACTGGTACCTTGATGCTTCTCTCCTGGCTGCTCTGTTTCTTCTGCCCACTGAGGTTCTGGCGCTTCGGGGGCCTGGGTGGGGGGGATTGGCTCTCAAAGGCAGGTAACTTCCGCAGGTGATAATAGAAGACATCTGTCAGCTCCTCCACTGTGGCTCTGGGGAGAGACCCAGCTGGCTGGCCTGGCTGCTGCTCGTCCTCCACAACAGTCAGGTCCAGCCACCGGGGAGGAATCTCGAAGGACACTCCAGGCTCAGAGTCCAGGCTGACCACCAAGAAGGGTTCCATGATCTTCTCCTCCAGCCGCAGGCCCGGGAAGGCGGACAGAGGGTCAGCAGGGTGGCTGGTGTCCTTGGTCACCACCTTGACCTCACAGGGCAGTGGGAACTGGGCAGTCAGATCTGCCAGGCTGTATCGCCGGCTATCACTCATCTCCTCCACGAAGCCGCCGGAGAAGTAGAGGGGCAGCAGAATCTGTTCTTGGTCCTCTGCCTCCTCTTCACACTCCTCCTCCTCGGCCTGGTCACTGAGCTGATGACATACCAAGATGTCTACGTCCCTGCCCTGAGTGTCGTGCGCCTGACCAGACCCCACTACCTCCAACCTGTCTCCCATGGTCAGGGAAGTGAACCCAGGGATCTCCATCTCATCCCCCTCACAGTCCTGCATGGCCACCACCCGCAGTGGCTGGCCGGGCTGGAGAGCGCTCAGGATGTCATAGGCCGTGGAGAACTCTCTTGGCCGTCGCCGCAGTTTACCCTGGTAGGCCCCAGAGACCAGGAAGTATCTGGGCATCTTTCGGCCCTTGGATGAGGCTAGGACCCGCCAGGGTGGCGAAGCCAGGCCATAGATGCAGAGCCTCTGGCCTTTCCGCAAGGAGCCCACCCAAGGGCTGAGGAAGATGGGGGGCCCGTCTGGAACTTCCAGGATCTCTGTGTTCAGGGGGAAGGGGCCGCCCCGGGCCAGGACCTCACTGAGCAGCAGCGGTTGGATGAAGTGGAAGTGTTCAGAGGAGGCAGTGACATCCTCCACGTCGACCTCCAGGGTGGAAGGGATGTTGACGATGGTCCTGCGCACTGTGGAGGAGAAGAGTCAGCTCAGTGGCATGGCCACACCCACCTCAGTGGTGCTCTCCACCCCCAGCAGAGAGATCTGGGCTGACCTCTCCCGTTCTTGTCTTTTCTCGCCAGCCAGCATTTTCCTGCTGTACCGGATTCCTTGGCCACTCTTGTCTCCAACCTCTTTTTTTTTTAAGTTATTTTAGAAATTATTAAACGTTTGTGAAAGTAGAGAGACTAGTATAGTGACCCCCCATGTGCCCAGCTTCAACACTGAACTCAAAGCTCATCTTTAATTTCTAGTCCCATCCATCTATCCCCTCCACTGAATTATTTTGAATCAGAACAATCACATCACACCATCTTTGACTATTTCAGCCCCTAAAAGAAGGGATGGTTTAAAAATTTTAAAGCATAACCACAATGCCATTACCACATTGAAATAATAATGATTATTTAATAATTCCTTAATACCAAATATCCAATCAGTTCAACCACTTTTAAATTTTAATTGAATTTTTAATGTCATTTTATAAGCTGCCTTTCCAAGTCCTTTCTGGATGTAAATAGACACAAAACCAAATCAAGAAAAACAGACTAAATGGCCTTGGGCAACTTGTCTCCTCTCTGGATTAGTACCTGGTACATAAACTCAAAGGGTGACTGTGATTATGAGGCAAACTGGCCCACCCACTGTGTTGTCTGATCCACATAGAAGACAGAGCAGGCATACCCTCCCATTTTGCAGATGAGAACACAGAGGCTCAGAGGGGTGGTGATGGCTTCCTCCGTCACATTTTTGGGATTTTTGCTTTGTGCTAGATGAGCTGATAATGGGTTGAAGCTAGAAGATGGGCACGTGGGGTCCATTATGTGTTTTGTTTTTTTCTTCAAAATATTTTAAGGGTTACCTGAGCTGCCTCATTATCCAGCACAGCCTGCCAAGCCCTCAAAATCCTTGGCTCCCCAGATGTGGTCTCTTATTGCCCCGGGCTCCCTGGGAAAGAGCTAATTTCCTGAGGAGGAAATGCTCAAGATGAGCCTGAAATATCTTTTACAAGAAAGCAAGAAAATCTGTTCAAGATCTCTAAGCTTTGTCAAGAGGATTTAGGGGCCAATGTGAAACAGCTTCCATGGCTCCCACTGGCCAACCTGAGCTAGTTTGAGCTTCCCATAAGATTAACAATTTCAGTGGATTGAAATATTGAAAACATGTCATCCCTGAGTTCATAGTGATAAAAAATAAAAAAAATAAACCATCCATTGAAGGATGTTGAGGAGCCAACTCATTCTTCTAAAAACTAGTAAAAAAAAAAGAAAAAAAAAAAAAAAAAAAAGAAAAGAAAAAAGGATATTTCTTAGTCTCAGTGCAGGCTGGTGGCAGGGTTGGTGAAACGGAGGTAGAGCCTGGCCATTGGAGGCTGAGCCTGAGTGGAGGCGAATGGTCCCGGGGACCTCCACGTTTACAAACACAATGTCCTGTATTTCCCACAAACCGGAACCAAAGAGCAGAGGAGGGGAGTTTTCTCTTGATGCGGTTTCCCTTGAAGAAGGGGTGACGGGATTGCGATCTCTAATGAAATCACGGATCGAGGCAGTGGTCATCAGCAGCTACTCACATCACACTGGCCCATCCATTGTGTTATTTGAGCTACACCCCATGGCAAGGCTGGTGCTCAAGGTAGTCAGATTGGTGGCAGACACAGAGCCACGTGTGGATTCCTTGCCCCACACCTCGCAACTGTGACAAACTGTGCCTCCTGCATCTGTTCAGGCCTCTAGACCAGGGGTGGGCAAACTTTTTGACTCGGGGGCCACAATGGGTTCTTAAACTGGACCGGAGGGCCGGAAGAAAAGCATGGATGGAGTGTTTGTGTGAACTAATATAAATCAAAGTAAACATCATTACATAAAAGGGTACGGTCTTTTTTTTTTTTTTAGTTTTATTCATTTCAAACGGGCCGCAGTTTGCCCACAGCTGCTCTGGAGCGAAGTGCCTGTTTGCAGGTGAGCAGAAAGAGCTAGCAGCACGCCGAGGCGGCTGTCCCTAGAAAAGCCTGCCTGCCTGCGTGTTGTTCCGGCTGGCGGGCAGACATGTGGATTTGGGGGGGTCCCCACCATTTCCTGATAAGAGTGGGTCACGGTCCTAAGCTGTACACACAGCGTGGTTTAAGCTGAACACCTGCTTTCCTGCCCGGAGTCTGGTACCTGCCAGGCAGAGGAGGCCTCTGTGATCAGCCCCAGTAAAAACCTCGGGCACTGGTTCTCTATTGCGTTTCCCTGGTTTCACACATGTTGTCACAATTCTGCGCTGCAGGAATTCAGTGTGCCCCGTGTGACTCCCCCGTGTCCTCGGGCTTCTCCGCCTGTACTTTCCCTGTGCTGACTGTGCTCTGTGTCCTTTCGCTGGGATGCATACAGCTGTGACTGAGTCATCCAACCTGGGGTGGTCTCAGGGCCACACCCAACGGGAGAGTCAGAGGACAGAGCAGGTTAACACTCCACAGGGATGCTGGCAACAAAACCCAAACGTGAAGAAGCCTGTAGCACAGATGGCCTACTCCCTTCATCAGAAAAATTACAAGAAAAATAGAGAAGAAAGGGGAACCTACAGCTTAAAAGGGACTTAAAAGACAAAACAACGGCAATATTGTGGACCTTATATGGGTCCTGAGGTGAATAAACTAAAACAAAATTATGAGACAGTGGAGGAAATTCAAACACCAGGTGGGTATTGTCACCATGTGCTAGGAGTTCTTGTTCTTTCTTTTGGGGTGATGATGGTATTGTGTCTGTTCAAAAAAAAAAAAAGGTGACG